TTATCTTTTTAATGACTCTGTGACATAATTGTTTTCATTTTGTATAATCACCTTGCACAAACTGAATATATGATCTACCTTTTCTTCTGCTTTTTTGCACAATTTGCATTTTGAATCATTCGATTTTTTTAAAATTCTTGATTGCATTAGTTCAAATAGCTTGCTCTTCATGAGCCATATATAATAATAAATCATTGTAGATCAATAAAATATTTTTAAAGAAATTATTGAAGTTGTTTCTGCATACCCCTAGATGTTCCCATTGCTAAAAGAAGATAGATGGTCTATCACTACAATAAAGTCATGCATTTATTAATTCAGCCAATGAGATCTGTTCAAAAAAGGCAATTTTCATTCTCTATTACTTTTTCAAATGCCAGGACTTGCTTAAGGCTCACAATCCGTTCAGAGAAATATATTGTATTTTGAGGAGTATGCAGTAAGCTAGACAAATGTAAATGTATTCATCCTCCCAATCAATCCATTCTTAGCCTTAAATCTTATTAAGTAGTCTCAGGAAGAATTGTGAGGTATAATTTGTGAAAAAGAAAAGTCTACGACAACTCGCCACAGGCAACTCATTAGGTTCAATTCACCACAGCCCACTCGCTGCAAGACAACTTGCCACAGGACAATTCGCTGCGGGACAATTAAATAATTCAATTTAATTATTTAAAATTATTTTACAAAATTAATTTAATCTTTGTCATTCACAAAGATTTTGTCATTTTGTCCCTCCTTTGGCATCCTTTCTTTAATGATTCCATTCCACCATTTCTTTGATATTAGTGTAACTCTTGTCCCGCAGTTAGTTGTCCTGTGGCAAGTTGGCCATGATGAGTTGTCCTGTGGCAAATTGGCTGCAACAAGTCGGCCACGTCAAGTTGTCCCATTCCAGTAAAAGAGTGCTGCAATAATTATTGATACTAAACAGTAATTCTGTCTTTTCCTTCATTCGTAGCGTGTCAGGTCTGGCAGAAATGGCAGCGCCCGTGCCCGCAGAGAAGGGAGTGCTGGAGGTGGTGAGTACTGTTCTAATTAAGATTGGGTGAACGTGGCCATTTTTGCAATGTCTCAATTTAGTTTATCTCTCTTGCTCATCTCGCAGATCTGCCAGGTTTGTTTTATTGAATTTGGCAGGGTTTTTTTCAACCGCAACACACAAGTTTGTTACATGCTTTCATGTACAATCCACTACACATACACAATTTGCATAATACAGTATGTGCTTTTTACATTACTTTTATAAGTACGTAGTCTAATACAAATTCCACCGCATCACACATTGCTTTAGAACCTGGGATAAATTTCAAAAGTTGTTTGTTATGTAACGTTTTAAAGAAGAGATATTCAGTGTTCTCTCTTTTTGCCATGCCATACTGCGTGTTTTTAATTCAGACCATGAAACAGTGCCATAGAAATTTGAGTGCTATTAGGGTATATTTTACCAGGGCTTAAAGACTAAAAGCTATGCCATGCGTTTCCATGTTAATTGCCTTGCATCATGAAGTGTTAGAGCCTTAAGCTGTTATATATTTAATTTCAGCTTTGTTTTCATTTCTTATGTTGTGCACTGTAATGTACATTATGAAGAAGTGTTTCTGAAGTGCAATTGAAGGCTTGCAGATGAATGTTCAACCGGTGAATATTACACTTCATTCCTGGTGATACTTATTATACAATGGAAAACATTATTGCAATTAACAAGAGAAGAAATATTGTCTTCTCAAAGTCCTTGTCTGGAGATGAACCACTTCAGGGTTTCATTTGCTATTTTATTATGTTAGCTTTCTGCCATGTGCTGCTGTATTCCAGAAGTCTCGGACTGTCATTTCCATCAACTAGCCTGGCTTTAGTTTCATTGACTGGAAATAATGATCTTCCAACGTATTTGGAAATAAATAATTTTCAAAATATCACTCAGGCTGGTGGTGAACAGAAATACGATTAGATACAATTGCATGGTTAATGGTAATATTAGGAGTAAAGGCATTTGCTTGTATGGGTGGGTTCAGATGAAAGCTTCAGAATGCTCCCATAGAGCAAACTATGCAAATACAGGTAGTTTTCAAATTATGACCAGGATACCCATTGCTAAGCAAGGCAGTCGTTAAGTGAGTCATTCCCAAGGTTACATCCTTTTTTCCATGGTTGTTAAGTGAATTCCGGCTGTTGTTAAGTGAATCATGCAGTCATTAAGTGACTCCGGCTTCCCCCGTTGACTTTGCTTGTCAGAAGCCAACTGGGAAAATTGCACATGGTGAGCACATGACCCCAGGATGGTGCAACCACCCTAAATAGATACATATTACCAAGCATCTGGATTTTGATCATGGGGTGGGGATGCTGTGACAATCATAACTGCAGGGACCAGGTGTATGTCACTGTTTTCAGTGCTGTTGTAACTTCAGCGGCCACTAAATGAATGGTTGTATGTTGAGGACTGACTATCTGTAATGAAAAGTCCTGTCTATTCTTACAATGCTCTGTGGGAGACTTTAAGAGCTTAATTTGCTAGAATCTTACCAGTCTTTTAGCAGGACAGAAGGGCACTATGTGATATCTAGTATTGGCACACAGAGCAATTGAGGGAATATCACTTGTTCATGCTGGCAGTCCTCTTGCATAACTAGTAATTGTACTTTCTCTGATTATTTGTTGGGCACAGATGTCCAAGGAATACCATAAAGGATTAGGTGCCCAGTGCTATAATCCCACGTGAAAAGGCAATAGACTTTATGTTTTGAACTCAGACGTTTGTTTAGATCATCCTGGAATCATTTATGTTTGGGTTGAATGAAAGAACTTTATCCGATGACAATATTTTTATTTTATTTTATTTATTTTGATTTGTCAATGGTTTACAAGATAATAGGTATAAGTATATACATAGTTATGAATACATGAAATGGGTACATATAAGAAAAATAAAAGAAACAATAGGACAGGGACGGTAGGCACGTTGGTGCGCTTATGCACGCCCCCTACAGACCTCTTAGGAAAGGGGTGAGGTCAATAGTAGACAGTCTAAGGTTAAAGTTTTTGGGGTTTGGGGAAGAAACCACAGATAGCCAGACTCATGCCCTGTGCCAGTTCAGCAGCATAGAGAAATCTGTATATCTAATTTAACTTGCATGGAAGTAACATTTTTGTAAGCTTATTTTCTACCATTTCAGAGAGAAAACTTCTGTTCACAGAAATACTGTATGTTACATGGTATATTATTTACCGGCTGATAATGATCAGAAAAATAGTTTCAGTAGATGTTCTTTCAGGATCTTTTTTCATACTGATGACCTGGAGTATTGATATACCATTCCATATTTTCTTGTGCTCTTTCCTGCCTTTTGTTATTCTGCTTTCATTTTTTCCATTTTCCGGCTTGTCCCTTCTCCAAGTAAAACTCAGACACAGAAGTGTCAAGGTTTAGAGTTCAATCCTAGGTAGCAGCAAATGTTTCTCTCCCAGGGCGCAAAGAAAAAGTATTTGCTGTAAAACTCTTGTCTGGTGTCAGGAAGGGCATCTGGCCAATAAACACTCAGCTCTATTCAGACACTCTGAGTCTACACCAAATTAAGGGATTACAAGGTCATAAAAAGGGAGGTTTTTTATTGGGTGAGAGGAAGAGATAACTAGAGAGGGCAGGGATGAGAGAGAAGCCCTCTTGAAGTGGTTACAAAGGCAAATCTCTTAAAGCAAGGATTCCCAAACTTTTTCTTTTATTATCCAAACCTGCTTATCAGAAAGTCCTTTTTGCCCAATATGGGTAAAAGAGTTTAAATCAATTTAAATGTCCCTGTTGTAATTGGGTTAATAAACCATTAGGGTTCATATGTTAAAGAAAAACCATTTTTAATCAATTGGGTAATTTACACAGGTTTGGGGAACATTGCTTGAAATTATGCATTGTGCTTCAGTCTGAAGAGACAGGAAGAATAAATGATTGACTGCAGACACTTTTATGCCAAATATTTTATTTTTTTCTGAGCAACATTCCACAAAAACCAACAGAGAACTAAAACATCAAAATGAAAGAGTGGTATGTTTAAACTCGGATCTCTAAAATATATGGAAACAATCAATGTGAGCAGTCATTCAAATAAAATTCAGTCTCAGCAAAACTAAAATGCGGATAGTTAATTTGCAATTTAGCAACTTGTTAAGCAAATGGAAATAAATTATTGCTTCTCTGTTAAAGAACAGAAACATGCAGTTTAGGGAAGTATGTAATTCTAGTAAGAAACATACCATCATGAAAATATTTGCTCCAAGAGAACCGGATTTAAGGAAGCCTCTTAAGGTCTTCAGGGAATGTTAGGGAAGAACCTATGAAGTGTCATAATTAACAAACTAACATTTTATAAGATTCCTGATGACTGATTCAGATAGGAAAAAAATAGTCTTCCTTGGAGAAGAAGAGCATGACATCATGTGCACTATGCCAATGGTATTTATATCTTGCCTTTGTGGCAAATTATATTATGACATGCGTTATTGACATTATTGTCTCTAGGTGTGATATTGTAGTTAGGAACATTGATTGTGAGCCAGGAGGGTTTGAAATTCAACTCAGCTTTGAATTCAACTGAATGTCTTAGGATCATGTCTTAGCTTGTAAGATCAGCCTTGGCTTTTGCTGTTTACCTTACAAACCAATTTATCCGTACCTGTAAGGATTACTAAAATAGTAATCCAGAACAGATTGATTCATAGTCAGAATCTGGTCATAGTTTCAAGTAACCAATTTGGTTTATGTCAAAGTAACTGTATGTGGAATGCATTCTCTACTGTAACTTTGTAAAATTTCATATACACAAGACTTTGTTTGTGCTACATTGTTGTAAAATTATATTGAACATTATTTTCTCTTATGTCAGAACCTGGTAGCACCACAATTAAAGGAGAACGTCTGAGTGCGAAATTGAAATCTTTGCCAGGAACAAATGAGCCATATGAAAGTAGTGTTAATAAAGAAATAGGTAAGTTTGTGTCTACCGGTAATTATTTACTTTCATAGAATTGGTCAGATGCACAGAGAAGCCCAAAATTTACCTCTACGTCATTGGATAAGTAAGGTTTTATGATGGGAGGAAAGGGGAACTATTACTGTTTAAGCAATCATTCATATCAGAAAAACAGTATATAAAGCTACCATTTGGACTTTTTCTAGTATGCAAAATATATCATCATTGCTGGACTAAAACAAATAGAAAGTAGAATTAAAACTGCCTATCAACCTAAAATTGATATCAAAGGGACATCAATAGCATATCTGGGAAGAAACATCAAACTAGATATTCCAGTGATAACACTTTGGTATCCGGAAGTAAGAAAGACTTATGGGGTGGGGGCAGGGGTGGGATTCAAAAATTTTAACAACTGGTTCTGTGGGCGTGGCTTAGGTGGTGGTCATGGCTTGGTGGTCATGTGACTGGGTGGACATGGCTTGGTGGTCATGTTATTGGCTAGGTGTGGCCAACTCAATATCACTCACATTGAGGCACGCATCTCCTCCCCTGGCCTCTCATGATTGTGGGGATGCTGCAACAGTTGTAAGTGTGAAAAATGGTCATAAGTCAGTGCCCTTGTAACTTTGAATGGTCACTCCACACAAGCAAAGTACCAGCAAAAGAGGGGGGGGAAAACTCCAGAGAAGTACCTGAGACAGGAAGTCTAGTCCTGCCAAGAATGTAATAAGGGTTAACGGAGAGGCAGTTTCTGTAAGCAACACCAGAATGTTTCCTTCCTGCCTTCCTTATAGGATTAGGCCAGTAATTTCTTCTAACAACTCGTTCTCCGAACTGCTTAGAATGTTAACAACCGGTTTTAGCGAACTCCCCCTGGGTGGGGGAGTCTTCTGTTAAGTGTGAAAAAAGTGCTAAAATAAGATTATTCTTCACTTGTTTTGTAAAAAACCTAGCTTGTGGCAAATGACATGCCAATGCAAATAGAGACATTGACATAGTAACAGGCTATCTATATAGGCTCAAACATTTATAGAGACAGTGACTAGCCATAAAAAGGTACAAGTTACTTTTTGTGTTTGATATGTCTAACCAACATGTGAAAAAATATCAGAAATGGGATATGTTTTCCCAGTTATTAATATAAAAGTCTTTCATGAAATCTAGACCATCAGAAAGGTTGATTGAAGAAAAGTCAATGCCTTTGAAGCAGGCATTGCTAGAGAAAATTATTGAGAATACTGTGGATTTCAGTAGCAATAGCACTTGTAGTATACTGCTCCATAATGCTTTACAGCACTTTGAGCGGTTTACAAGTTCAGCATATTGCCCCCAAAAATCTGGGTCGTCATTTTACCAACCTTCGGAAGAATGGAAGGGTGAGTCAACCTGAAGTCCTGTCAGGATCGAACTCCAGACCGTGGGCAGAGATAGCCTGCAATACTGCATTCTTACCACCGCGCCACCAATGCTTATAATGGACTACAAGAAGAATATATTGTTCAATTCTAAATGAAATTAAACAGGCTGCTCAGTGGGAATGCTGATAATGTAGCTTAAATATGTGGAGTACGTAAGTGGAGCACATAATATGAATCCTTGGAGAAGACTTCAGTCCTTGGAAGAATGAAGGCAATTGAAAAAGAGTGACAAAAGATAAAGTCACTAGTTACTGATACTGGAATGATTTTAGAAGACCTCAAAGAAGCATTGACAAAATAATCCTGGCAAAATAATGTCCATTGAATCACAAAGAAGCACCTGAATGACTGAACTGCCACATCAAAGTATAATTCACTTATGTAATCAATATAGCTTTATGAAATTCAGTCTTTAAATAGCATCAGGTATAATGTGTACTTCAGTAGTAGCCTGCATGTACATTCTGCAAACCTGTAAAATGCAAAGTGAGCTATATAAAATGTTTCTTCTTATGTATTAATGTAGAACAGCAAAAGTGAAATTTTCTCTTTGCAAATAGTAGAGCTCCTGGATTGCCTATGGAAATGAAACTAAGATGTAGGATAAATTGAAATTAAATACATTGATGATATGCCCACAAAAAAAAAAATCATTCCAATTCGAGATTCTTGTCTTCATGATGCAGAAGAGAAGATACAGTAGTCTTACTAGGAGAAAGATCTCTAAAATTTGATAGCACATGACATGAGATCCTTCAAGTTTGGAGAAAGGTGCATGACTACTTTCCTTGAACTGTGAAATGTGATTTATTCTAACACAGAAATAGAGGGGGACCACTAAGTCCAGCTTCTGTTGGGCGCAAGAATCCAAATTCAAACATGCGCAACAGATGGCTGTCTGGCCTCCATGTGAATAAATCTAGTGAAGAGAAGCATGCACTGGATAATTGATTTCACTAGGTAATTGATTTCACTGGGCAATTGGTTCCACAATGTTACTGCTTTTACTATTAGGCAGTTTTTATTTTAACATCTAATTAGGATCCATTTACCTGTAATTTAATCTTTATTTTGTAACTTGTACTGTGATATAATGGAGACCTTCCTTTGACTGACACCCTTTCAGGTATTTGAAGAGTAATATTCCACTCCCCCACACTGACAACTTTTCAAAGCTAAAAATTCAGTCTCTTTGAATGCCATAGTTTTTAGTCCCTGGTTATTTTTGTTGTGAATTTATTCATTTTTGTAAAATCTTTTTAAAGAACAGGTGCTCGAAAGTTGGTTTTTTGAGCAAAGTAGAATAGTTTCCTACAGTTTCAAAACTATGCTCATGTTGATGTAGTCTAAAATTGCATTTGTCTTTTTTGAAGTCACATCGCACTTCTCACTCATCTTCCTTCCTTCTTTCCTTCCTTCCCAAATATTCTTCTAAGCCTCATATTCTGTATTTTTAAATCTGTGAATTTAACTTTTGTTATCTGAATTAAAGATTTTACATTTGTCTTTGTTTAATGTAATGATTTTAACTTTCAGCCCATTTTTCTAACCTAATAAGATAATTTTGGATTATATTATTACCTTCTAGTATATTGATACCACCCAGTGGATAAACATAAAATGCTGGAGGAGCTGTTCCAGCTCTTCAGTAAGCAAACAAATTTCTTAGATCTATTTTCCCCCCTTCTTTTCAAAATGTAGATGCTTCCTACCTGGATCCACTTGGACCTCAAGCTGAGAGACCAAAAACAGCACTAAGGAAAAAAATGGATGAAGATGAGTTTGCTGATGAAGATGTAGGCGATGATCTGCTTCCAGAATAACTTTTTAGACCAGTTCAATTATTTTTTAAAAGTTCCAAAAGAAAAAAAATCTTAATAGAGATTTATATTTATTTGAATACTATATATATATATATATATATATGAAATCTTTATTTTAAGTAAAGTTTTTATAGTAAGAATTTAAAATCTTGTGCATTTATTATCAATCATATCTTTTATCTCATATCGTTTATGCTCACCCAGACCACCTAAACGATGATCTCAATGGGACCAGTGAACAGGCTAAGGCTGAAGCATTAAGCATCTTTATATCATAACTCATGTATTTGCCTTGATAAGCATAGCATTTTGTTGGAGAGCAATTGCTCATCCTAAGATGTCAACTTGAAATATTGCCACCGAAGGGAAAGCTTAAGAGGCAAGCCATGAGTGGTGGGACATCAGGCATGGAAGCCAAAAACAATGGTGATGGCAGGTGGATTTGTTAATCGTATCAGCCCTTCCCAGCTCTTTGTGGCCGATTCAGAAGAACCATTCCAGGGTATTTGGTGGAATATTTTAGAAAATGAATTGAGAATATCTCATAATATCTATGGAGATAAATTACAATTTTAAGTGATTTGTTTGATTACATTTTACCACAATTGATCCATGTTTTCCAAACTGCAAAATGTGAAATCCCTGCCTTGTATATGGCAAGATTTTATATAGATCTGTGCACATGAGATTTATTTATGCCAAGATATGAAAATCTCAGAATATTTTTAATCAAGTAGAGTTGTGCCTTATTGTAAATTAAGCCATTTTCTATAAATCATCCTATATCTGTAAAGTTAACTTTGTTCTATAATTTTCTCTGCGTCTGTGAAAAAACTGCAGCACGTCATCTGCCAATAATTGGGTCTACCAATGTTCAAATTTTTGGAGTCAAGTTCATTTTCTGCAGAGATTGTAGGAATTACTCCACAAACTAAAGTAGGAAATTAGTATTGAGCACATCTAAGAAATGATAGATTTGAATAAAAAATCTAAGGGGATGTTTCAGAGCTTCACTTTTTCTAATTAGCTAATAAATAATTAACTGACAGATTTGGAAAAGCCTACATATTTTTCCATGCTTACTAAAGCAGCCCTATTGTACAATAATCACATCCAGCTTTAGGGAGTCGTAATTTAGATATTTGCTGGGTTTGTAAGTTAGCAAAACCCTTTTGAATCTATAGAGGCCTTTTATTTTCTGCATCTTTGTCATTATTTGGAAAGTGTAGAAAAATGGAGCAATGCCCAAATATCGTCCTTTGCAGTTAATAAGTTTTCATTAATTACACATATTTCATTACATAAAGCTTAAATTTAAGCAAGAAAAAAAGCAAAACTGGGATAAATTAATCTTATGCTATTTAAAACATGTTTCCATGTTTACAGGTGATTTATTGACATTTTAAAGATGAATAAAAACTATTTTAGAGCAGCATTGCCCTTTTAAAATATGTTTTCAATTTGCACCATGTTACAATTTAATTATTTCAATGAGAAACAGGTAGCGAAATGTCCAATGCTTTATTTATCAACACTGACCTTATTTTCTCTAGGCAATTATATCAGAGCAAGTTCGGGCAATCATTTTGTTTCTAGGCATGCAAATGCAGAGTCACACACAAAAATAAGCCATACATTTAAAGTGCTCTGTAGGTAACTCTCTCCCAGTCATGGATCTCGTACCTCCTTGTAGTAATAAGCACAAATGAAAACATTGGGATTTGTCTCCTGAATGGTACACTCTGCTGTAAGCCATTATAATATCATGGTCACCATCTATCTCAATGGACTGCAGATGCACCAATGCAGAAATTGGTATGTGAGCTCTGGAGAGAAAGTGGAACTAAAAAATATTTACAAGTAACTCATATTTCCAACCTCCATGTGACCCAACAATTATTTGCTTTGTTACAGGGGGATTCCTCACAGAAAGCTTTGCCAAAAGTTCTTAGCGTACAGATAGTTCTTGAATTAGGACCACAATTGAACCCAAAATTTATGTTGCTAAGAGAGACATTTCTGAAGTGCATTTGGCCCCTTTTTATCATCTTTCTTGCCACAGTTGTTAAGTGAATCAATGCAGTTGTTAAATTAATAACATGGGTTGTTAAGTGAATCTGGCTTCCCCATTGACTTTGTTCGGCAGGTCACAAAAGATGATCATGGGAAACTGCTACTATCATAAACACGAGTCAGTTGCCAAGCAGCTGAATTTTGATCACGCTATCATGGGGATACTGTAATGGTTGCAGGTTTGAAAAATGGTCCTAAATCACATTTTTCAGTGCTGGGTTGTAACTTCAGTCACTAAACGAACTGTTGTAAGTCAAAGACTACCGGTATATTTCTTTACATGTCAAGACCCAGTTTATATGACTCCAAATTTCTTTCTAAAATGGTGCATCCAGATTAAAAAAAAAACCTACTTAAACACCAACCATCTTGTCCTCTCCATCCCCCTTTTTTGGGAGGTGGGGGGTGGGGTTGTACCCGCGTTGAATCAACAGCTCTAAGTAAATCGAAATTTGACTACAACGTTAAATTATCGGTTAAATTATTTTTGTCCTGGGGCTCCGATGCAAGGTGGAGTCCCCAACGATACCCTCGGGAAAGGACTCGGCGTTCCCTGCTTCAGTCAGTCCAGCGAGGGAAGCGCTCGAGCAACCGGCCCTTTCCCTCAGGCGCCTTGAAGGGTCCTGGCATCAGCAGCCGGGGGTCCTGCTGCGAGAAGCCGGGCGCTTTTCCAACTTTTCCTCCGCTCCCCCCACCTCCCGGCACCGCCGCCAGGGCCAGGAGGACCCCAAGCGCTCGCC